GACAATATTTTTCTGATAAATTTAAAATTATTTTTATTTACTATCATGAATTTATTTATTATGGACAGTATATCATGTAAATAAATAATTATAGAGCAAATGATACACACACGATTTTTATACATAATTCTTTATGAAAATAATATGGAGTATAAAAAATAATATATTAAAATTATTTTATTTAAGAATTTATTTGTTACGCAGTTTTTAAAAAATCTGTATATATAAATTATATTTTACTAATATTTTAGTATTGAAATATATGCTGATGTGAAATAAAATTATCGATGCTCAGATATTTAGTTTTACTTTATTTGAAGATGTTCCTGTTGCTTTATTTTATAGTTTCTACTTTTTTACAGAATATATATTTGCTGCATTACCGAGGACCCAACGAGGACAACCTCTTGTATTAGGTGGCGATCCCAAAGGAAAGAACTTTTTATATACTAATGGGAACAGTGTTATCATTAGAAATATTGACGTGAGTTTCTATTTTGCAATAAATGCTTATTACTAATGACAGACATATTAATTTGCATATCTCGAAACATTGTAGAATCCAGCAATTGCAGATGTTTATACAGAACATTCTTGCCCTGTGAACGTTGCCAAATATTCTCCTAGTGGTTTTTATATAGCTTCGGGAGGTACGTGATACTGTAATTATAATATTTAATTTTAAAAAGATTTTTAATTACTTGAATATTATGTACATGTATTATCTTGAAAACTATCGTATGCAATAACATGATGTATGATAGTTATTAATCGTATCTAATCTTCGATAATTATATCTTATCACTTTTTCATCAAGATCTTTATATTATAATACATAGAATGTTTCACAACAACTAAATTAATTTTCAACTGATTTCTTTTTACATTCAATTTTAATGTATGAAAAAATCAATGTAGTATAACTTCATTTTAGATCAGTCGGGTAAAGTACGTATTTGGGATACAGTTAATAAGGAGCATATATTAAAAAATGAATTCCATCCTATCGGCGGACCCATCAAAGATATTGCTTGGTCACCGGATAGTCAGCGCATGGTCGTAGTCGGAGAAGGAAGAGAAAGGTATACTTTGCTCACTAGAATGCGTAGAAGAAGTAAGATATATTATTGAAGAATTAAGATAGATCAATTAAAGAAATAATATTAATATATTAATAATTTATGTTTAGATTTGGGCATGTCTTTATGGCAGAAACAGGGACATCGGTGGGTGAGATTTCTGGTCAAAGTAAATCTATCAACTCATGCGATTTTAGACCGACCAGACCATTTAGATTAATAACTGGAAGTGAAGATAATACTATCGGAATATTCGAAGGCCCTCCATTCAAATTCAAGTATATACATATCTACGAAAATTTAGTCTATATTCTGAAATTGAGAATTTAAATTTTTCATGTGGTTCGTTACATGTCATTTATATAGGATGACAAAGCAAGAGCATACTCGTTTCGTTCAAACTGTGCGTTATTCTCCTGACGGAAATCTGTTTGCTTCTGGTGGATTCGACGGGAAAGTGTTTTTGTATAATGGAACGACCTCTGATTTTGTTGGAGAAATAGGATCTCCTGCACATCAAGGTGGAGTTTATGGAGTACGTAATTTAATTCATTTAATGTAATGTAATGTAACATAAGAATATGAACAATTATTTAAAATAAATATGAAATTGAACAACACATTTATATTTACAGGTTGCATGGAAGCCTGATAGTAAGCAATTATTAACTGCTTCCGGAGATAAAACTTGTAAACTGTGGGATGTAGAAACACGTTCTTTAATTACGGAATTCAACATGGGAACGACAGTCGACGATCAACAAGTTCGTAACTTATATAATCAGTTTAAAAAATACATGTGAAGGTACAGTATACAAGAAAATATTTTAAAAAGGATTAAAATAATCTGTGTGTTTCCAGGTGAGCTGTCTGTGGCAAGGAAAACATTTATTATCCGTGTCACTTAGCGGCTTCATCAATTATCTTGACGTCGACAATCCTGAGAAGCCTATAAAAATAATAAAAGTAATTCCTATTAATTAATCTCTTCCAAAGTTCTAATTTAATTGCTCTTAATATTTTTTTCATTATATCAATTTTGATCCAATATCCTTTTCAGGGTCATAATAAACCAATAACGGTGCTAACATTAAGTCCTGATAGAAGTACGATTTACACCGGTTCTCACGATGGTTATATCACCAATTGGAATGCAGAAACAGGAGAAAATGAACGCGTACAAGGGCACGGTCATGGTAATCAAATTAACGGGATGAAGGCTACAGGTAACTTGCTCTATACCGCTGGCATTGACGATACTTTAAGATCAGTTGATATTGCGACGAATGCGTACGCTGAGACCACTGTGGTAAAATTGGATTCGCAACCAAGAGGATTGGATATATATAACGATATAGTTGTGGTGGCTTCAGTTCGACAGGTAGGGCGAATGTAAAATATCTACAAAGATAATTTTTTCGATTTCCCAAATTTATTCAGTAAATTTAACAAAATATTTAACAAATTTAAAATTACTTTAAAATTAGTTGTAAACAGGAATAATTTGTATGCTATTGTAAAGAAAACTTGCTAAATATATTTTTTTTAAACTATAAGCATCTTTGTGGACATTTTGCACTTGTAAATTCTGCGTAATAACGATGTTACCATTGGTACTGTATTTTGCAGATCGCAGTTACAAAAGATGGTAAAAAGCTGTCCAGTTTATCAATCGAGTATGAGCCATCGTGCGTGTCAATTAATCAAGAAATTGGAGATGTAGCTATTGGATCCACGACTGACAATAAAGTTCGTCTGTTATATATAGTATACGAAAAATGTAAAGATTTGGTTCATATGCTATTATCAAGCTTTGTACAATGTAGGTTTATATTTACGAGTTGTCGGACACTACATTAACTCAAAAGACTGAACTAGAACACCTGGGTCCAGTTACGGATGCCTCATATAGTCCCGATAATAAATATTTAGTTGCCTGTGATGCAAACAGAAAAGTTATACTGTATACTGTATCAGAGTATAAGGTAAAGTACCTTACATAAAAGATAATTTAAAATTATTTAGATTCAATTATGCACAGTTAAAAATGTAGTTGTAAGTTTTGCATGATCGAGTATTTTTTATTATATACTATCAACAATACTGTGTTAGAAATGCAAGAATAGTAATAACACTTAAATTCAAAAAGTTTTGCTTTTTTAATACTATAACTCAATATATGTAATAAAGAGTTAGTAATTTTAACAGAAAATTCTGTCTAAAGCTCTAAATTTAATGGATAAATACTTATAGCATTTATTCATTAAATTTGATTGTAATGTATTATAATATTGGAACAATATTTGCTATGCATAAAGTAATTAAGCATAAAGTAACCATGCTTTCATTAATGTATTAATTGCTATTAATGGCTTGTTATGTGCTTATTGGATTAACAGAGGGTGAGTAGTATGGAACTAAATATCTATTATGCAAATACACTTAAAAAAACAATTTTAGTATATAAATCTAAAACATCTTGATTTAATTTGCAGCTTGCACATAATAGAGAATGGGGCTTCCACAATGCAAGAGTAAACTCTGTTGCTTGGTCTCCCAACTCCGACATGGTTGCAAGTGGTAGCCTTGACACCACTATCATCATCTGGAGTGTGACAAATCCAGCGAAACATACTATCATCAAAAGTAAGTGTAATAAATATTTTTTTTTTGTAAATAAATCGTAATTAATAAATATTTATATTTCAGATGCTCATCCTCAGAGTCAAATAACACGCTTGGTTTGGCTGGATGAAGAAACATTAATCTCCGTCGGACAGGACTGCAATACTAAAATATGGCGTATAGAAAAGATATAATTAACTTTTGGAAGAATTTATTGCCACTTCTAAAGAAACTCAGTTTTGGAGGCATTTTATTTATTTCGTAGTCTACAAAAAAATATTGTATATTATTTTTTAATACAATTCTTGATATATGATTAAAAAATTATATTGCAATGTCTTTTGCACCTTTTGTATCAACTTTATTAGTAGAATAGTTCACATTCCACATAATTAAGATTTTGCAGCTCTTTGGTTACTGCACTTTTATTTTTGCACATATATAGAGATATTGCATTTCCACTAACATAAGAATCACACGACTTATCTAACTTGTCTTTATTAAAACGATATAACAATAACAAGAAAGCGATAACAATTCGAACACTAAAGGTCTTCAGGAACATGATCACACTTTGTACACTTAAAGGTAGGATCCCACGGCTAGTTGCTCGTCATAGCTTTGAAAACCTATACACGCCGGGATCAGAATAGCTCGTTATCGCTTGTGGTTCGTAACTCGTAAACCTTTGTGAGTCAACAAAGCATCTTGCATTGTTGACTCATGAATTATAGAAACTCGACAATTTTTTAATTATCGAAACTACGACTTATATAATAAAACATGTTTCTTAATAAATGTCTCGACTGGCAATAATAAACAGCTTCTCGCACATTTATATGCAATCAGAGAAGTTGAGTGACACGATGCGTGATAGTTAATTCTTTCTATTTGGTGAGCATTCTGTTCCTACAGCGCGCCGTATGATTTTAATTTTTCCTTTATATTAATTTTAAAACTGATCGTGTAATGTGCCTAGGCAAATCAAAATTGATCACGAGCCATGTCGAGCCACGAGCCGTGGGATCTCACTTTAACGAAGATGTTATTACAACTTATCTTATCATTAATCAGTCCAGCGCTGCTCTTATATATTCAATTATGTTCATAATCTGCCATCTACCATAAATAGGCATAGGTAAACATTCTAAATTATTCTCTAATCCAACTAAAACAATGTTCAATTATTTTTAATTATTAAAATTTTTTCTATCTCTTTTTTTGTAATTTAACGAAAACATTTAATTTTTAACAGACATATATCTTTTAATGGAAAGGTATCCTAGCGAGGGTTAAAATGTCTATATAGAATAACACAATAGTGACTTTATCATCATATTATCGATGGTTTTGACGTACTATATCGTGGACGTTTTTGAGGAGAAGCTACTGGGTGCCTGTAGGATACATGTTTCCTGAGAGCATCTCGTGATCGCGATACATGTGAACACGATGTGCAGCTGTACGAGCTATTACTATGCGTCTCCATGTGTACTCGCAAATTATACTGATTACTTAATTGTTTACCACAAATAAGACAAGTGACACTGGATTTGTTGTAACTCTGAGAAGTTCTACTAGGTGTAGACGCCGCAAGCAATTTGAAACTTGCATCCCACACGGCTGATGGTGGTTTTAAATCTTCTGTAGTGACTTGATCTTCCATGATCGACGTTGTCTCGTCTACTATGTTTTCCGAATAGCCTCTATCGATATACTTATTAGTAGATACATTAACAGGAACAGACGTTTTTTCCCTTTGGTTTAACTTCGCATTTATAGAATAATAGGGCTTCGTCTTCACGCAATACGGTATACTTTCTTGATCATTGTTAGACTCCTCATCCTCTAAATTGTCCATTACTTTAGGCAATGATACAGATTCTGACGATCCAGGAGCTATTACATTATCTTTCTCTGTTTTTACTATCTCTTCGTTTAGTCTTTCCTGAGGTTGCATTACTGGCGACTGTACATAAACGTCGTTATCCTGTCTCGAATTTTTCTGAAATAAGAAGACATGCATAATCATGTAAATTACATTAAATAATTATCATATATTTTTCCATTAAAAACACTACACTATTAAACACAACATTTTTTTAAATGTATAATTTAAAGATGTATATATTAATTATGCGGCGTCATATGCTTTTATGAATTTATATTAAAGGTATGTTAGATTACAATACAATATAATACATTATAATATTAAGTAACTTTAATATTATAAAAATTTATACAAAAATACAAATTGCTTTCGATAATTAAAAAACGCGATAAAACGAACGTATTTTAACTTTTTCGAATATGAATATTGATGACATACAATGGTAAACATATCTTTTAAAATTCAAGAAAAGAATAAGGTAAATCATATATTTTAAATATATACTATACAACAGGTTATGCATTGCACATTAATTATCTTTTATGTGCAATTTATTCGTATTTACTTCAAACCAATATTAGAATATATTACTTAAGGATATTTAGCATGATAATTTTTAAGACGTTGTTTTTTGTTTATATTGTTCTAGAAATATACATTTGTTAAATAATACCAAGTGTTCCTAATAAAATGTATAATTTTTTATTTAAAAAACTATTTAGTCAAGAGTTATCATTGAGTTCTAACAGTTTAGCACATAAAATCGTTGACAATTTCTGAAAATTATTTTCAAAAATTATTTTGTCTATAGGTTTCCATGCATTTTCTTTCTTTCTTTATAGCTAATAACATCTTTAGAATCAACAAATTAGTGCTAAACGTTTGTTATCATCACACTTGACTAAACTGTTAAGCATTATTGTACTGCGAAAAAAATATAAGTGTTGTATGAAATCGCCGTTCTAACTTCGGTAATATATAGTTTTAGTAATTTAGAGATTCATGGAAGAAGCTATTTTAGATATACCTGTAAAGTCATTCTATGGGGTAAGGTTCCATGGGATGCATCCACTTGCATTTAGTTGCAACACACACAACGATCTTGATCTCGTGGATATCGTTTTTATTCATTATCGTTCCTTCGATGCATGTACGAACATAATATGTGTAGCGGTATAATTCCTTCGTGAAGTACTTCTTGAGGAACGACAGTGAATGTGTTTAAGTAACCTGAACAAAACAACACGATCAGGATAATATAAAAACATTAAGTAAGGAACAAGCGAACGCGAATTTTGCTTCGTTCTCCGTTCTGCTGAAGTACGAAAGAAATTAATTATCTGCGATCTTCGACAATATTATGGCAATTCTATACTCTTTTTATATATTGGGATTGGACATAAATGTTCCAAGGATAGCATTTACAATTATATGTACAATAAGCTGTGGTATGTACATATGGAATTTATCATTTACAGATAAAACAAATTCTATCTAATAGATTTACTTACAACTCTAACAAATGCTTACAACACTTACTGCTATCGCATATAAATATTAGATCATAGATATAATATCTTTAATATGTAACGTGTTACAGTTTTAAAAAAATTGTAAAATAATATATTGACATTAAGAAGCAATATTATTTATGAGCTATATTGAGTATACAGATACTATTAATCAAGTATTACAATGCATAAACAGTTGTATATCAATGTTAATGAAAAAAAGGAGAAGAAATGTGAAAGAAAAATGCATTGTGATTTAAAATGGTGCAACTTATTAATAGAAAATGTTGCATAAGTTTTGTATAACTGTATATTATATACTAGCTATATTGTTGAGCGTATCAACAATACAGTTATTTTGTGCAAATTTACAATAGATATATTTGTGTGTGAAAGATAAAAAATATTTAGTATATATTCGTAAGGAATAGTAAAAACTGTTAGAGGGAGTCATATTCCTGTATAACGGCGTTTGAGAAACCCATGCTTTGTTATAAGCAATTAAAAATTTTCATTTGAGGACAAGCGTATTAAAAAGATTAAATATTATTCATGCTAATTACCTTAAGTATTAAAAAACACGCCATTAATGTAATAACAAGAAAACGGCAGTTTTTATTTCTGAATATAGTGTAGTAAAATTGTTATATATATCATATTTATAGCTTTCTCAATATTATTTATTTCATATGCACAATTAGCAAGCTTGCACTCCATCTGATTTCGAAACTTAATAGTAATAATGAAAATCATATTTTCATAATTTCTATGTCTCACATACAAATAGTTACAGTAATTCGAAAATTAATTAATAGAAAAATAAAATTAGTACGTAATATCTAAAATAAACAAATTAAATATTTTATTATTTTATATATTTTATATCAAGACGAAAAACTCTATTTACAATAATTTCACAACTATGTATCTTATATGACGCCAAAAGTTTTAATATCAAAAATACAGTACAAGCTCAAAATGATAAAGTACAATACATTCAGAAAATACAATATAAATGCAGAGTATAACATAATTTTTTTTACACAAGCTTTTCTAATACTTCAGAGTAGACTATACATCTTTTTAATATCGTTTAACCACGACAAAAAAACACTTACCCCAGCCATGTCAGCTAGTCCACAAATGTGCAATGTATCAGCCATAGCTAAAAGTGCAGGCAATTGTTCTTGATAAATATTCACTTCTCCATTATACATAAACTTGACCAGAGCACACAGATTTGCATATTCCATGCCTGGCAGCACAATGACCGGATGTTGCAAGGCGCTTAAGTCCTAAAAATTTTTCATAAAATTCTTATCTTATTGTTAATATAATTTTAAGATGCATTTGATTGACATAAGCGACACAATATTGACTTAATATCGCCGCTTAAATTAATTTAAAAATCCATTATATTTATCTTATTCAAGCAATCAAATTAACTATTCAAAATAGTTCTGTTTTTGTATGTATCAGATGTTACTTATAAAAAAACAAACAAGTAGAGAAGCATGAAAATAATATAATATTGTGATTAGAACAGAGCTGATTCAAAAAGTGTAAAAACATTCATATATCTATTATGATGTTAATAAATAGATATGTTACTCAAAATGTTTCATAAAAGGAAAAATTATCGAGATTAATTCTGTCTGCATAAGAAAGAAATGAACACCAGATGGCAGCAAAATATAAGTAAACAAAATATATAGATTTAAAAGACATGAAATCTTCATAGCTTGCATAAAATAATTGAGACATATAAATACCTAAATTTTATACATACATATAAATACACACACCTTAAACAGTTCTTTAAAGTAATAACTACAAGCAGAGAGTATAATTCTGTGAGCATGAATATGTCTACCACCAGCGCTGAGCGTAACGTCTGTCAGATAACCACCATCGAGCAACTTTGGCAACGAGCTTAAGAGAGTATTTTGAAAATTATGCCACCGCAAACAGAACTGTTGACCTTCCATGTCGCTGCTTACTGTAAGAAAAAAAAGGATCACCATATTGAAACATTACGTTTCATAAAAGGAAAAATTACCAGAATTAAGTCTCAATGACTGCATAAGGAAAGAAAATACAGCACCAGTTTACAGGAAAATCTAAGCAAACAAAATATATAAATTTAAAACATATGAAATTTTCATGATTTATATATACAAAATTGTTCTTTTGCAGACAAATAGAACATTGCAATAGATATTTTATTTCATAATACACAAATTCATATTTGTATTCATGCACATCTAATGATATTACTGCAGGAGCTAATGTCAAAGTTTATCACGAAAGACAAGTTTTTTAATTCATCATTGCTTAATCACATTATGTGCAAATGCAGTTTTTATGGGATAAAGTTGTATTTGTGCATAAGGTAATTGATCAATCAAAGAATTAAAAAACTTGTAGCTATAGTTATTGACATTGTGAATCAGTAAGATCTATTTAATTTATATAATAGCAAATTTGATTTAATACATTAATGCACACTGGTATATATGATATTAAAGTCATTGATACACTGATTTAATTTGAATGTAAAATGAAATACAAATATTTCAAATTATAAATACATATATTTTATCTAACACTACAATAAATTATATACTGAAGATTTTAAAGTATAAATTGTTTCTAAATTTATACTAAATACATACTTTTACATCAATTTGTGTACAATTCTAAAATACATCAGTGCATACTAATTGCATTCGATTAAATTCGCTATCAATCAAAAAGTACCAATTAATTTCAAGGAATCAAAACTGTTATAGAAAAAAGAATCAATTCTGAATATATTTTAATAATAGAAATAATCCAAATTCACAGATGTAACACGAAGAAAATTGAATTGACACTTATGGCAAAGAGATTTATAATTAAATCCAATAGACCTACCGTCAGCTCCGGAAAATTAAACATTAATCAGACACGTAACAATTCGGTTTTATCGTCGTACAGAGTAAAAGGTTATAAAAGCCACGAAATTGCAGAGTGAAAGGCGATTTCTTTCTGCTCGATTCGGAAGAGATTTACAATTTAGGGAGATCTACGTCGCGAAATCGCAACGTAAGGGAAGTGGGGCGCCAGTCCGAGAGATACAGAGGGAGACAATACTATTTATTTAATCAGGCTCTGTGCAGGTTCCAGCCAAATCTATTATTGTACTCAGGTATGGCTGGAGGAAAAGGACGTCCGTCGCGTCCCCGCGATTCGCGACAGCTCGCGGCGGACAGCTGAATAATACCGATACAGGGCTGCCGAGGCATCGACACGCCTGTGGGAGACAGGGAGATCGAGAGCTCCGCGTCGTGCCTTACCTCGTGAAAATCGTTGGACGTTGTTCGTCACGAACGACCGTTCTCAGCGTAAAACTGCCCCTCTCAGACCTCTCATCTGGCGAGCGCCATAACTGCGATTGGCGCGGGCCACACGATCATGAGAGATGCGCTAAACCACATACCACATAGTTGATGGCCACCTTTTGACATTGCCTAGAATTTATTTACACAGTTGCCAGTTTAGCGATTTCAGGTGTCGTCTTGGTGGACAAATTTTATCTAATGACGTTTCTAAGTGAAACATTCATATTTCACTTGGTGTTTAATTGGCTATACAGCTTAGTATAAATGATTTTGAGCTACTTTGGAGGACTATTTTAGCGCTATATTGGCGACACAGGTGTAGAAAGTGTAGCGCGGTGCAGTGCAAAAGATACTAAAAATTTGACAACCTTGCCCAGAAACGAATTGAAATTTGACGCAATTTTCAAATGATCGTCGAAAGGCAATTTCGAAATTGACTCAATCGACGATCAATTCGATCAATTTGCTCAAAACAAATTTAAATTTTAACAAATTGATCTGCTGAAATAAAAATTTATTCTATAATATAATTTATCATCTCTAATCTTTTTTCTCATATGAAATAAATAATAGAAACAATAAAAGAAATTTTATAATTCTGCCTAATACAGTACAGATAATTTTATCCGTATTAAAATTAATAAAATTAATACAAATAATTAGCTAAAGAAGTTGAACCGACAAAGTGACTCCCAAAAAAATTTGTTACATGTAATTCCAATATCATTTCTAATCACTTTTTTCGAGTGTCAAATAACAATCATTATATAATCATGTTAATGAAATGCTTACTTTGTTATTATTTTAGTATGATAAAATTATCTACAAACTCTTATTTTTGTTTAATACACACATACACACACACACACACACACACACACACACACATATATATATATACATGGAGAAAAAGATTGAGATGAGAATTTACGTCTTATTCTCGTTTTCACTAATAATATTTCACAATATAATTCAAATTAACTTAATCTCGAACTTATTCTTTAGTTTATATTTTATAGTTCTAAACCCTGCTTAAAATTTTCTATAAAAAACTATAGGAACATATAGAGTTTGTATAGGTATTTATAGTTTTTAATAGTTTCTATTATAGTAGCGCACGAGAGCGACTATAGAAGCTCTACAGTTATCAATAAGATTCTATGAGTATAATAATAGAAAACTATTGCGGATTGGGATTTACTGATTTACAAAACGCTCATTAAAAACTATAGAATGTTTTAAATATTTTTCTATAGAACATTTTAAGCAGGGAAGATAAAGTTAGAAGAAGAATTAGAAGAAGCTGTGAAAAATAAATTAAACAAATGTCTTATAGAGTTGTATGTATCTTTTTCTACTTTTTTCATATTGTAATAGATGGCATAGTATTTGGATAGGACTCTAATAAGAAAGTATTGTAAATGTACAGTACAAGTGCAGTACAATGAGGGTGCAAACCCATGCAGCGGAATAGCGTAACGCGGAACGAGAGTAGAACCAATCACGAGATTCTCTAGAAACACGGAATGCTCGTTATTGGTTCTGCTCTCGTTCCGCGTTACGCTATTCCGCTGCATGGGTTTGCACCCTGAGTGAAGATAACAGGAGCGTTATAATACTGTGGTCACTCTGTGGAACGTACGTGAGACTATCTGGTTACAGAATATCATTTTGTCATAAATAATATTAACGGATATCAGGTAATAATACATAGAATATTATATTTATAATGGAAATTATAATTAATTATTTAATATTATTAAAACAATATTAAAATGTAATTTAGAATAAAGAGTTGTAACGCTATGATGAACTTCAAAATTCAAACAGTAACATCCGTAATATCGTTAAAAATGAATAAAAATGTAAATGTAAAAACAGGCAGGACTTTATATAAAAGCTTAAAATATCTATAGCTTTTAAGAAGTCACTATATTATCTTTTGAATTTCTGTGAGTTGGTAATTTTTACATACAGAAACCTATATGAGCCGAACGCACGAAATGATAATAATTTATCTTTAAAATACACACGTTATCCAATATACGTACGTATTATTTTTACAATAGCACTTATTAAGTAAAAATTTGAAGTATATATTATTTATTTTTAAATTAATTGTATTTTATTATATATTAAATATATTAAACAAATTAATACTCTCTCCATTCTTGCAGATATTAACATTTTTTTTAAACTTGTTGACATATAATTTATTAAAAGTAAAAATATATATTTATGAAACATGCATTGGTTGAAGGTCTCATTTATTTTATGCATGTTTGGATGTTTTAAAGATTTTCGACCTTCTGAATCGTTTCTGACCGATTATTTGACTGGGCCGTGGAAAAATTTTACAGCAAACGAAGTTCGTTTAGTGAAGTAATTAATTTAACAATTAAGTGTTTAATTTTTAAATAATATGTAAAACATGTTTATTTTTCAGGTCAATCATGAGATCTATCCTGTAACTACATATAGTTACTTATCAACATTAATACTTATGTTCCTAATCACAGATTTTATCAGATACAAACCGATCATAATACTCTGTGGGCTGTCTGGTACTGTAACTTTTCTTCTGATAATACTTGGACATATCGTACTTGTTTTACAGATTGCAAAATTTTTTTTCGGCCTGTTTATGTCTGCTGAAGTGGCTTATTATACTTATATATATGCTCAAGTAGATAAAACACACTACCAAGAAGTCACGAGTCACACTAAAGGGGCTTCTTTATTTGGGCGCAGTATATCCGGCTTCGTAGCTCAGTTAACAGCTTCCTTCGATTTGTTAGGTTATCATCAACTCAATTATTTAACTCTTTCAGGTATATGTATATAAGTTAAAATTTAATTATGAAGTTACCCAGACAGTACAGTAATGTTTAAAAAATGTATTTAAAACGTACATGTTGGACGTTTGGACATATTAAAAACATCCAGATTAGATCCATGGATATTTTAAAAACGTTTTAAAAATATCCAGTGTTACCATTTTGGACTTCTTAAAAACGTCCATTTTAGGATGCAATGGACTAAAACTGGACTAAATTAATATATTAAACAAATTTTTGACCACAATCCAGACAAATTTGCACACTGAAAGCAAAATGATTCCTAACTATTATGATTGCGAGCAGCAAGCTATTGTTGCTTGTCGCTTGTTGCATATCTGAATTAAGCTTTAATTTAATAAATTTTCGCGTTACCGGAGATATCAAAAGTAAAACTCCTCGTGCGATCATAAAAAAATTTTCACCTCGCAAGTCAACGAAAGCAATACGTCACAAGCAGACTTAGAAAATTTTTTGCATGAGATAAACATTTTTTAAATGTTCAAATGTAAACATACTTTATACGTTGAATAACGTACGTTTTTAAAACATTCGTACTAAATCCATGGACGTATGGACCAGATTGAAACCAAGTCTAGATGTTGTGTGCTGTCTGGGTATATAAATTTGAAGTACTTATTATATTATTTAAATATATTATATAAAATTTTACAAATAATAAAATAATTAAATAAACTAGCTGATTATAAACAATTGTTCAATTAATTAGGAAAAAGATTAGGATAGCTTTTTATTTAATTTTATGTAACATTTTATGTACATTTAATATGACACAGAATATAAAACATATTTTCGTGTATATATTTTTATAATTATTACGTTATGTGTAGTATAATACTTTTACGCGGGATGTAATTTAATTTCTAGCCATTAGCATTGCGACAGTCTGGTCACTCTTCTTACCTGCTGTGGGTCAGTCAATTTATTTTCATCGCATTAATCGCGTTTCCCTTGATGAAGAAAATCCAGCGTCTATTGAATATGCGATCGATCAATCACAACAACTAAGTAATTCACGAAAATTGTGCGACAAAAATAGCAAAACGAAGTCAGATACATTTTATAAGATCAGGAACGCGTATACACTGTTGTGGAAACATTTCGTGTTAGCTTACTCTAACTATCGTGTGATTAAATGGTCGGCCTGGTGGGCTTTATCTACTTGTGGATATCTTATGGTTGCCACTTATTCACAATTGTTGTGGCAAACTGCGGTGAAGCCGGGCGATAGGATTTACAATGGGGCTGTGGATTTTGCATACGCCATTGTAGGTAAGAGAATTAAAAGCATTTCTTAACGAAACAATCACATGTTATTTAAACATGTTATTTCATCAAATTGAAATATGAAATTGGAACGAAAGACAAGTGACATTTTAAAATGCATAGCTATTTGTGAACAGATTATCTTTTGTTTATGCATAAATATGTTTGCACATTTTTTTTCACAAAATTATGTTCGCACTTGTGCCTCCACATATTGTAAAATGTGAGATGAGACCTGTGATCACGGGTGACGTGATGACATTTTTGCACGCACGATAATCATACATGAGGGTAATTTAATATATGAGCTCTCACGAATTATTATCTGGATACATCAGGAGACGCGGTAGTATCTCCGGCCATGTTCAAAAATTAAAAGGCACTATTGTCTCTTATTTTGAGCCTCCAAAATCCATTTTTTTTTTTTACTATAATTCAAACATTTTATTGAAACATTTAACCTAAATTATTTGCATAATGTACTTAAAAATATTTTTATATAAAACAGATTTACGACTGTAAACAAAAGTATTACTTATTAATTGAATGAAAAATGTGAATAAAGTATATGAGAATTATATTTAATATATATTCAAATTGATGTATAAGATACAAAATTAAATTCTTATTTCCTTCAAATTTTAAAATAAAATTTAAAGCAAATTAAATATCTAATAATAATCAAATATTTAGCGTAATTAAAGGACTAATTTAATTCACTTATTACATTTAATAATTTACTTAGTATACATTAGATAAATTTTTCTAAAGAGTAATTTTTTATAAATTTTTTCTCAGGTTCAATAAGCGTATTCTGTGTAGGAAAACTACGATTAAACTGGAATTTATTAGGAGACATATTGTGTTCCGTATTTGCATTTTTAGAAGGCTCTATACTATTGATATCTTCTTACAGTTATAATATACAGATTTTATATGTCGGTTATATCATATTTGGTGTAATTTATCATACCATGGTCACTGTCGCAAGGTAAATTTTTCACATAATTAATATAATTAGTAAATAATAATACAAAATATATAACACGATATTAATATCAAAAGATGAGATTTATAATGAAAATATAATTTGATCATTGTCAATAAATTTCTTCTTCCAAGAGAGAGAGAGAGAAAGAGAGAGAGGAAAAAAACAGTAGAGGTTTTATTAAAGCGTTAATACTTTACATTATATATTATATTGTACATATAGAGGGATATGTACATATACATATATGTATATTGTTAGAATATTTTGTTTATATGTTCTTGTTTGAAAAATTAAATAAGAATAATTTATAAAGAAGTCAATGTATATTTAAAAATAAGAGGATTAAAATAGTTTTTATTTTTATTATTAAATCAAAATGTTTTCATTCTAGCTTTTTGTTTCTTGCGAAATATAAATATTATTGAAGATTGTAATATCTTTTTTAACAAAATTGCGCATAAAAAATTAAGTATTTTGTTCTTGTTTGTTCATAGCTTTGAAGTCGCTAAATGTATATCTGAGGATAGTCACGGCTTAATATTCGGCGTGAATATATTTCTCGCATTATTAATGCAAAGTTTGCTGACATTTATAGTCATCAATACGATTATGTTAAATATCAGACAACAGGTAAGAATTATGCTGATAATGCACCAAATTTGTATATATATTTGCCAATAATATGATAGTCTTTTCTTTTTAGTTTTATGTCTATAGTGGCTATTTTATGGTCTTAGCTGTGATATACTTAGTATTGAGTATAATCAACATTCAGCGATATCGTCGAAACATGACTCAACTGCAAATAAGATAGTTTTTTCTCCGCAGTATATATATATATATATATATATATCAATAAAACAGTATATATCACTAAATAAACTTTTATTAGATTCAACGAAATGCGCGCTGTGTAAACTGTTTTTATTTCAAATAAAAATTATAGTACGAATTAATTTATAAATCAGAAATTTTTTATTTTTCAGGAATAAAATACAATATAGAATCAGACCAATTTTGAATTCTCTAATAGTAACGAATTTTGTTGAAATCAACAATAAAGTTTTATAGATATTTTACTTGGACTCGTTCGAAGGAGATTCGAAACAATTATTTTGATAGAATACAAGAATTTTGATAGAAAAGATCATGACAAATCGATCAAAATAGAAGAACGGATTTTTATCAATTTTTTAAATGATTTTTATCTTGAACAGACATAAGAATCGCTCATCCTTTATCGATAATATCGACAGACTGCCAACAGCATGAGTATATGCACTGTAAAATACAGATTATCATTCGTTAGATTTTATTTATAAAAAGAGATATATTTTTTACAATAAATGTTTTTAAAGAGATTGATTAATTGTAGTAATAAATATATACTATGGACGTCTATGACATTACAATCTTATTGCATATTAATTTAATGATACTTATCTTTTGATTAAAAAATATGTATGTAGATTGAATATTATTTATATATGCATTTTATTGGTGGAAGTATACGAAATAAAGACAAAACCAAGAACTAATCTATATATGTATAATTGTAAGGTTCATACATAACCGTCTATCTTGATTGATATTATATTATCGATTTTATTATTTGTATATAGCTACAGAAAAATGACGCTTATTACAATTGTAAAATCGCTTAACACTCAAGCTCGATTGCGTCGGACTTTCCTTGATATCGCGATTTTAAACGTGTTATTCTCGATCGCGATACATTAAAAATTGCATTCTTCCAATATACAACAAGTTTGAAACGATTTCTCAATTATATCACAGAAATACAGACTTTGAATTCCAGTGACAATTTGAAGATATACAATTACAAAACCGTGTTCGTAATGAGTGATCAAAAATTCGTAAAAATTATGTAAAAACCTGTGTGCGTAAACGCTAATTAGAAACGATTGAGTTTTTTTAATCACCTATGACTAATTTCTCAGAAAGAGAAATAAATCGACGGTTACGTTCCTTCAAGCGATACACGCATGTATATCTTGTCTGTTACAATTTTATATATAGTTTTCGTAATTGTTATTTATAACACTTAAGACTATTATAAGAGTTAGTACGATATTATAAAATGATTATAGTATGATTATAGCTATTTATATTCATATCGTCGATTTCTAAAAAGTGTATAACAAAGTCCACAGTATTTACGACAATTAATAATAACTCACATACAAGCACTCTGTGCTTGCTATATATATATATATAAATATATATATGTATAACAATTGAATCGATTAACATTAAAAAAAAACTTTTCTTTATTAGATATATCAGTGCTACAAATAAATAAAATATATCAATAATTAATATATTGCACGAGTTTAATATTTGTAAATAGAAAGTATAATGTTCTTATTGCACGCAAATCATATACGTTAAATATATTTCTGTAATATATTACAAAGTTATATTTCAGAAAATAAGTATTGATGAAATATTGAAATACAATAATGCTATATAGATTGGAAAATCGAAATGCTTCTTTAGTATCTCGAGAAATACGATAACTCCCTCTTCGTTAGGCACAAATATTTCTATACTACTGTATTCATTCTAAAATGTGTTTACAACACGCAAAATTTTTATTATTTATACTGAATTGAAAACTTAGTTTTCAATTGTTTTCATATTACTTAAAAGTCCCAACAATTATAAGATAAATATTTGCAACTTTGTATCTTAGCAGAAAATCGTTTTAGAATCATTTTAGTATCCAAAGAAAAAGCTACGGAAATTTTCTTCGACACTAAATAATCCTAAATATCCTTTTTTTTATGCAAGTTAAACCTATCAATGCAATCTCAGACCCAAAATTTATAGCTGTAATATTAATATTAATATTAATATCAAGAATGCCTTATACCTGCAAAATCATGAACTTTTCATTCGGTAACACAAGAATCTTTGACCGAGAAAACGCTGAATATTTGAATTATAAAAACTTTGGAATGGAGATATAAAAGAGAGCGATAAAAAACTTACGCCATGTTCGACTCAGGGTGCGGTCGAGTTGCCACTACGAATGCTTTGAAGCGTTTCTTGATTGGTCAATTTGTAAAATTCTTTCTTTTGATTGGTCAATCAAATGCTTCAAAGCATTCGTAGTGGCAACTCGACCGCACCCTCAATTCGAGAACTTATAAATTCTATTTATGTCTAGAACCGATATAAAATCCGTGTATACTCGATATGTTTCTAGCTACATGTATATTATGTATATACGTTCGATTACTCTGTATAATATTTGATATTAGACCAGCGCCTCCACTATATCTGTAAATCTCGAAGATTGTCCATAAACTTTTTGTAAACTTGTACTTGTTGCTTTGCATCAGGTATCTGGATTATTACGTGCATTGTACACGTGCTATATCATCGAATATTCGGAAATCTTTTTACAATATTCATTCCTATACTTTGTTTCCCAATATCGATAATGTGTGTCGATCGGCAATTATTAGATACATATACCGCTTCTCGATAAAAGTTATGACAAATGCTACTTAATTATTATTAAAACGTGTTCTCTCTAAGCATATCTCCAATAATTCTAATTTCAAAGTCCTCTAAATTTCTACCAATGTAAGTTAACTTCAATCTCGGGGTTCAACTTATTCTTCATCCTTTTTGTAATTCTTAGAACTAGAAAAGATGAATATAGTGGAACCGAAATTAAAATTAAAATTAAAATTAAACTACATTAGTAGAAACGAGCATTATTAAAAGATTAAGAATTGTAACTTCCTTCCTACGGCTTCACGCGGTATCCTTTCGCGGTTATTTTTGAATATGAAATCTATTAATTGTAAGTTTTTTATATTTTTACATGTGTTTAATTGGTCCGCAGATACCAATCGATGTTCAAATTTTTTTCGATTCTTGTAAAAAGAACGAATTTTATTGCGTTAAAACCACTGAATCTTTGAACGTATAACGTATCGTAGAATATAAGTGCTTGATGTATCATAAATTATCAACGCGTGCACTGTTCTTTTTTCTTTTCTTTCCGTAAATATGTAAAATGCCATTACTATTGTGGTCCTTCTCCGTGAAGTAGAGTGAGTATAGCGTTTCTGAGTGCAAAATTCGAAGTAAAGGAAGTATCGTGCAACGGTTCGTTCGTCATTGGACTAGTATATTTTCCACATAGAAACCATTCATTTATAGCTGCTCTCTCATAAGTAAATCCATCTAGAAATAATTGTACACAATTAAATTTTTATCAAGACAGATTTATCGAAATATTTTCTAATAAGGAAGTGATTCTTTGTGATAAGAACCATTCATTTATAGCTGCTCTCTCATAAGTAAATCCATCTAGAAATAATTGTGCACAATTAAATTTCAGGGAATGGAAAGTTACTTTTTAAAAATAACTAGTTACAGTTACTCGTTACCGAGTAAAAAATTTTTACCTGAGCACTGCACAGGTTCCTTCATTATTTCATGCGTTATAGGACACAAAAATTCATGAGGAATCTCAGACTCGTCTATATTCTCCATGACGTTGCAATCTTCACGCTTCAACCAATATAATTGCTTCTTTAATATTTCCATAGCCTATAAAGATTTTGTATTGTAAGAGTTTATATGGAATTCGATATAATGAGCTGGATAGAATCATCATAATATTATGCACCGTACCTCTTCGTCATCTTCAAGTTCCAATCGAGATATTAGTTCATTTTCTGATACGGAAAGCAAATGTCGTCCTGTCAGTCCCAAAGCAAGCATTTTCCTGGACAATCTAGATAATTCAATGTCGTTTAACCATTTCAAAGTGTCGTATAGTTTCCAATCCGCAACCTAAATAACAAAATTTTATCAAATATTATTCAATTTATTGCGCACGCATGTTTCGTTCGTTTCGCATAATTTAAAACTGATTTGTTTCATTACTGACCCTCTTCTTCTTGTTTCTCAAGCTATCCATCAAATTACTTTGTGACACCAATTGCTGAGGCACTTTCCAAACCAAGACAGTTTTGTCCAACGCACCTAAGAAAATTATTATTAACAGTAAAATGATATTGATTATACGAAATGTAACGATAAATAAATTCTGAATAAATGTTTAATTGAGCTTAAAATTTGTAGAATTTATAGAAAAAAAATTCGCAATATAAACTTATATAAGAACAACTTGATAGTCGAATATACTATATGTATACAAATTTATAATATTGTATTATAACAGATATGAGTCATAAAACAGTTCAAAACCTGTAGCGAAGAATGACGTGTCCTCGGAAAATGCGCAAGACGTAACAAGACTATCGTGATCCTCCAGAACATATAAACAACTTCCGGAAAACTGAAAGCGCATAAACATATCGATTTTTATGAAAAAGTTCTTATATATTTTATATCAAGCATAATTGCCTTGGTTGCTTACCACGCTCCATATACGAGCTGTTCTATCAGTGGCGACGCTTCCTATAACTTCTCCGTGGACGGGTGAGAAACGAACACACATTACATTTCCACCGTGTCCGGTTAAAGACTTCTTCTCCTTGTAACGCTTTCTGATGTTGCTCGATCTAGCACTATCCGAATCGGATAATGAATCGTTTGGAATAATTATATGCCATAGTTTAACTAACGAATCGTTGCCGCACGTTGCCAATAAATATATTTGCTGGTTTACGTCTGTGTCCCTTGCTGCAAACAGTCGTTGATTTTGCATTATTTAATAAAGATTTCTGTAAGATAATTTGTGCCTAAGGATTAAAAGTAATAATAATTATTATAGAATAGTATTATTACATGAACTGCACATCA